AGACACGTCTCTCACATCCATGTTTCTTCAAATACGGATCCTTGCGGTTTCCAGTGGAGAGCTGAAAGGGTGTAATCGGCCCCTGCGAAGTCACTTCCCACTGCCCGCAGTCGGTCGCCAACAGCTGAGTTGCCCAGTCTGCCTTAAAGAAATCCGAGACCGTGAATTTGGCCACGATGAAGGCCAAAGCTCTAGGCCCGAGACAAGCGCAACTTGCCCTTCCGCATCCGTGCCCCAAAAACGGGCTCCGCCAAAATGACAGGTTGGCCTTGGGCCCCATCGTTGCAACTGGCACAGCATGTGGGGAAATTGGTATGAGAACTACTGATGGATGCTAGTAGCTGGAAAATGTCCAAACAGGGAGGGTCACTTTGGTTGCCCCACTCAGAGATTTATTCGCTCGGTGAACAAGACTGAGTCTGCCCAACACATCTGAATGAAGAAAAGCATTCAACTCGTAACTCGTTGAACCTACCCCGCAGTCAACCAAGCCAGATCGCCTTAACCTTTCGATGTGTCCGTGTCTTGAACCCAGTTGGCTAGCCTTTTTGTCTGCGGTTGAAGCGCTGGGTGCCTTCGTCTGGTCATAAACGTGCCTGACCCTAGTCTTCGCCCAAGTGTCACATATTGATTGAAAGCCAGCCCTAAAAGAACGCCATAGCAATCTGACACTGACTGTTCGGGGATGACTCCTTCAACCGCCTCCTCTGGCTAGGGCTTTGAATCAGTGGTTGGAAAGCAGTGGATCTGCTTCATGGCTTCGCTCTCCGCTGCGAAATGGCGAGATAAGTTTAAAACCCTGACAAGTATGATCTCAACTACAGGTCAAAAGACATCAAACCCGTGTAAGCCTCTGCAGTATGTAATTACATGTGCATCAGCGTGTATATGTAACCATACATCCTATGTATATACACATATATACGTATGTACTGCACCTGCGTATGCATATTCAGACCGCCCCCCATCTCTGAGAAAGCCCTAGATGGTTGCTTCCTTCATCCAGGTTTGTGGAAGAAAGCATTCCTCATCCCCGGACAAGCTCACTTGTTTCCCAAAGAGGACATGGAACGACTGAATGGGCCGCCTAGTTCAACCTAACAATCTAACAATAGACTAGCAGCATGTTTTGTCAGTAACTCATTTCAAAAACGCCCAAGCGGAACTGCGGAACCCTGGACAAGTGCAGGCTCTGGCTGACCTGATGACAGGATGCCCCAAGGCTCGCAAAACGTTCCTTTGCCGCAAAGCTTCTTGACCATAGGTTCCTGCATCCCTCGACCAGAAAAAAACACCACCCTCGCCAAATCATGACTACTGGTGAAGGTTTAAGCAGTCTAAGCATGCAGGAACCTCAACTGCCAAGTCGCAAATGCTCTAGCTAATGGGACTATGGTAAGGCTGGCTTCAAAATTGTTGAATTGCCCGTGCTTGGCCGCAAAGCACCCGTGCTCAAGGATGCTTGACGCGGGCCCTGACAAAGGCCTTTCAAAAAACGCTTACTCTTCAGGCCTCAGATCGCGTCGTGAGAGCAGGTGTCCAAACTGCAAACAGAGAATCGCCCCGATCGGCCAGCATGGGGACCATTTTACCCTCAGCTCTCATAATTTGTGGCTCACAAGTTGGGCCTCGACATGCGCAAGCATGTTTCGCGACAATGATCGGCATTTAAAGGTGCCACGGGTACGTGGGAATCCGTACCCAGCCTTGCGAAAGCGCGCCTGCCATGAAATCTGTAGCTGACTTTGCGAAAGTGCTGCGCCTGCCACG